AGAGGTAGAGGTAGAGGTAGAGGTAGAGGTAGAGGTAGAGGTAGAGGTAGAGGTAGAGGTAGAGGTATTCGCAAACGGTCATCCATTCAGCCAAAAGGTTATCCATTGCACGTGACAGCAGCAGCAACAAGGCCAAGAATGGCAGCGGCGGCGGCAATAAGGACGAAAAGCAGGCAAAGAATGCACCAGTATCGAGCATAACAGAAGAAACTGGTGAGCTGTGGCATGTCTTGCTCCAGGACACGAGAATCTTTCCCGAGAGTGGAGGTCAGGCACGCTATATGGGAACGCTGCAGCTGCTCGAGTCTGTCAAAAGGCCACAGCCGGCCGAGCTTCCGGTCATCTCTGCCGTTCGACGCAAACTTGATGCCGTGCATACAGCCCGTATTCCCTCAGACGCGTCGCCGGAGAGTCTGCTCCAACTAGGTGCAAGGTCCTCTCGAAGGTCGCCTGGCAGAGACGCAAGAACCACATTCAGCAGCATAGGGGCAGCACCTCTTATCTGCATACCTAAATGCGCTTGATCGGCCACTGCCAACGCTTTCATTGGACCTCGCCGCTTGTCCACAGCCGTGATTCGTCGAGCACCTGCGCGCTCCGAAGGATGCGGAGCTAGAGAGCACCAGAGTAGAACTGAGCGCCTCCATCGAGCGGGGTTATTCGATCTCTGTTGCGGTCGAGCCAATGGAGCACTTCACAAATGCGCCAGCAAAGCTGGCTTAGAACTACGCAACTGGTATAGACGGCACGGGTGACGATGTCAAACCTGAACGCGTCATCCGAACCGTCAATATCGGCGGGATAGACATGAATCTGTGAGTGTGACACGGTCGCTCCAGAACCAACATGGCAGAGCTGGCCCCAAGTATCGAAATGAGACAGATGATGTGGGACACATTGGTCGTCTCTTCTCTTCCTGCACTACATATCTACCCTGACGCGTCCAAGATCCGCAGGAGCAACGTGTGCCTATACTTTGACGTCGGGCGCTGCGCCTTGCACAGCTTGTTCAAGTCGTTCGGCATCTTGGCGAGTATATCGCGCACCCTCGGCTGCGCGAGGGGGAGACGACCATGCGGCTGGACTTGCTGATGGTCATGGAGAAGGGCGCCAGGAAGCGCGAATTCCAGCTCAGGGAAGAGGTCGCGCTGACCCTTGCGGAGGCTGTCGTGCAGTCTGCTCTTTCGCCTTTGGTCGTAGACGGCATTGGGGAAAGCGGAACATTGGCGCGGCTCCAATGCAGGAAGGAAAAGCTTTACGGCATGTACACTCTGCAAACGCACCATCAGCACGCTGCGGCGAACAACGGCCCAGTGCTGCACATGTGCGCAGTCACCTTGCACCGAGCCGTCGCATACTTCGAGCTGCTGAGCGCCGTCGCATGAGTTGTTTAGAGCGTTTATCGACAGGTCCGCACGGTGGAAGACCTGCGGACGTTGCTTTGCCTCAGCTCCCGAGCGACCGCTCCAGAATCGCTGCTCGCCATGGGCGACAGCACCGAGTCGCTGCTGATCATCGCATTTGAAGCACCGTCAGCGGCCAGTGCCAGAAGCGGATGGACCAGTCAGTGGTGGCAACAAGGAGGTAGGTGCAAGGCATGCGCCCTTGGCCATGCCCTCGTCCACAGAACAGTTTATCGCCAATGCGGCTGAGCAGCTGTGGAGGGCTTTTGGCGACTGCTTCAAGAGCAGAGGCAAAGGCCGATGGCAGGGCAAATAGACTTATTTCCCTTCTTCGTCTACGGTGAACGCGATTGCCGCGGACGCTAAGTGGGAGAAAGAGAAAACCGGGCGCAAAATGGAGGCATGGAAGCAGGTACTAGAGGGCGTCACGTAGCACGCAGCATGCATTTTTCCATTCTTTCCGTGCTATACATCAGTCAACAGGGCAACTTTGGAACCCCCCAGCTACCGTCCACCTTGTGATGAATCTCTACGCACTTCTCGGACTGCGTCTTTGGACCCATGGCCTGTGTGTGTTTGTGTGTAAGACGTTGCATTCAGCGGGGGGTGCGATGCATCACTCGCATTTAGACCGACGAGACTCATACCGTAGGTGTGCCCGAACTTGGTGTCACCAACGGAGCTGAATTGGAGTATCTGATCTCGCCGGATAACTAAGCGCGGCAGGATGTACAAGTAGAGCATTTCTCCAGAGCGTTTCTACGGGTAGAAGTGTTTTAAAGAACCACTTCTGCAAGACTGTGACGAGCTGGTGCGCGTTGGAGAAGTGGATCAACTTGTCTTCTACCTGGAGATTGGGACGATGGATTTCCATACCGAGGTCAGCCTTCGCTGGGAAACATCGCCGACGATAACGGAGGGAAAACCGAAACGAGACATACATCGAAAGAGGTACCATGTCAGGAAGTTCCCCGCAGGCTATCGGACGTTTCTAGCGTCAAGTTTGTAAAGGTAGGTGCGTGTCTCTGGGTCCGGGATGGTGGGTGTCGTAAAGAAATCACACGCGGGTTGGGACAGCACGCTGCGGCGTGGGGGTTGGAGACCACCCACTATGAAAGATCAAGATAAGGAAGAGCGTACGAAGCGTCTCCTCACAAGCTCCTGAACAGTGGCGTAAGTTGCGTGAGGCACTGAGTGTAGGGACAACTCTACTTTGTCGAAGACGTAAGGAAACAAATGGATTAAAAAAGTATTGCTCGCCAAATGTCGAGGCTCGGCCCTCCCGCTTATCGCGAGCACAGATAATATCTCGGGCAAACATAACCTGACTGCGCCCTTACTGCGCGTACTATGGACCTCCATATTGGCAGCGCGTTCATCTTGACTGCTGCCTCCCTTCCTTGCTCAGTGCATCTGACATGTCCAGCATCGCCGGACGGCGTCCTATCCACCGAAGCTGTTGGCGGGTACATATAAGTGCGGTGCGTGATCAGAAGGCGCATCGGGCAAAAGCAGTCGCAGCGGTTGTGTGCTTCTCGTGAGCACGTGCACGAGTAGGCCTGCCAAAGATGGCGCTTGAACAGGTCGAGGCAGGAGAAGAGAAGCTCAAGGTGTGTGGAAGGTAGTGAAATTGTACGAGTATATAGGGAGTTGTTTCTGACTGATAACGTAAACTGGGACATAATATGCAACAGAATCTCAACTTACAGCAGCTTCAGAAGAATGTGTACGTGCGGTTGTCGTCCCCACTCGACATCCCCAAAAGCGGTGTCGGTCGCATTTTCAGCGTGTCCAATAGCAAAAGCCTGTGCATAGCAGCGACAAGTGCAAGCTTGCTGCTCCATCCCTTGGAAGGCTTGCGGGAAACATTCGCATCCGGCTCGAATCACTCGACTCCGCAGCTCAGCCCAGCTGCCCAGATTGAGACAGTCTCCCATCCTGCACTCGGAGCGACGCCTAGCTTTGTCAGGTTTGCGGATGCCGGAGAAAGGGTGCTGGTCGGACTGAGCAATGGCACGATCGCAATATGGGAGACTGCCAAGCTCCTTGCATGCGACCTGGTGAGGTTGGATGATACGAGAGACGCTACCGTCAAATGCTGATATGTGAGATCAATGATGCACTGCAGGTGCCAACCGCGGTGCTCCAGCCACCGAGCCCGGGTCTGATTCTGCTCGATCTTGTGGAGAACCCATTGGACCTGCCTGAGTTTCCTGACGCTCTTTACTCGCAGGCGGGCTCGTCCAGCAGGGCAGCAGCAAGCCAGTCCATCATGTTCAACGTGCGGACAGGAGCCTTTAGCACCGGGCTTGCTGCTCATTCGCGTCACATCCGTTTGCTGGTCCATCAAGGGCAAGCAGCTCGCTCTCGGTTTGGTCACCGGGGAAATCATGCAATTCACACCAGCGGGTGAGCAAAAGGACATGACCGTCAAGCCAGAGGAACTCTCCGCCGAGTTTTGCGTCGCCGACTTGCGCTGCATCGAAAATTACGTTTTTCTTGCTACTTACGCGAGCTCGGCCAGCAACGATGCAGACGTCAGCGACGAAGATCAGGTGTTCGTCATATTGCGAGACGCTTCTACCAAGCAGATCAAGTTCGTCCACTTTCCGCTTGACCCTGCGCCCATCTTCGGATTCGGAGGTGGCCCAAAGCAGAGGCGGTACTGCGCAAGGCTGAAAGAATGAGCTGAGTTCAAGCATCTTATCTTCGTTGGCAACGTGTCTAGCACCGATCTGGGTATCATCGGCAGCAAAAATGATGCACGGCCAAATGAAGCCGGTGGATGGAGGAAATTGGAGCTAGAAGAGGCATCGCGACCGACATTGCCTTTGTGATCTGTCGACAAGGATGTCGCCACTTCTCCGGTAGCGCTCAGCCTCGACCTTATCTTCACCAATGTTGACGACCCTAACGCCGCCGCCCGAGGTGAAAGTGAGAAGGACGAATTTCCATTTATGCCCATCCTCTACATCTACACAAACGATGTGGTCTCGCTCGCGTATCACGTCATCCATGGAATTGGAGCAGCGTATGCCTCTATGCAGCAGAACCTCGGTGTCTCGAACGGGGCCGAAGTGGAGATGTCCACATATTCAACAGAAACACAGCAATGCTTTAAGCACAATGTCTGGAGCGATGCCGAGTCCCAAACCACAGGCCACTGCACTACCCTTCTCCGTTGGCAATGCCACAAGGACGACTCCCTCTACCACACTTGCATTCGGTACCCCTTCTGCCTTCGGCTCAACACCTGCTTTTGGTTCAACCTTCGGATTTGGTTCATGAGCACCCGCTTTTGGCCAGGCAACCGCATTCGGTCGAGCAAGTGCATTTGTGCAGACAGGCGCCTTCGGACAACCCAATGTATTTGGCCAAGCATCCCCAGGTGCATCTACCAATGAAGCAGTTGAGCCCAGCATGGGGTCCAGCTTTGGAAACACATCTTCCGGGGGTTTTGGATCCCTAGCCAAAGGGGATGCACCGGCTGGAGAACTTAACTTCGGCAGTGGCGGCGCGATCCAATCAAAGCACAGCAATTCCGGTCTTCGGGGCGGACGTGCCGACCTCATCACACTTCAGTTTTGGCGGGCCTTTCGCTTCCAAAGCGCAGTCTCCGCAGGCCGCACAGCCTTTAGATGGCTTTGGCATATCAGATCTTGGTGACATGCTCGGCGAGTCTGGGGACGGGCAAGAGACGGCTGAGGCACAAAGGAAAGAGGAAGATAGAAAGAACCAAGATGCAGAGGATGCACCTAATAAGGCAAAGAGCGCAAGCGCCAGGAAGAGGACGTGCGAAGGAACCGCGAAGAGAAAGAGCAGAAATGGGCGCAAGAGCGAAGCGGCAAAGAAGAGGAGGAGCAAAAGAAATGTGAGCGAGAAGCGGCTGGGCAGAAACAGCAAGCAGAGATATTCGAGCGCGAGAAGAGAGAGCTTGAGGAGAAGGCACAGGGCAGGCGCAAGGAAGCTGCAAGGCTGAAACAAGCGGCGGAGAAGCTGCCGTGCTGCTTGATAATTGATAAGGTGCGCCAAACCTCTCAACTGATGGAACAGAGTACCACGCCACGAAAGGTGCAGTGGAAAAGGTGACATATGCAGCGAGATGTCGCTGTGAGGGCGACATTTGTACTTGAACACTGCGCGAACACTGGTTGGAAGTGAAGCGCTCTTTTTGCCATGGATACATATATGTACATACGCGTGAACGCCTCATGTTTCAGCTCTACAGAACTTCGTCCAAAGGCTCGATTGATCGCCAAGCCGTGTATGTGCACCTGTGAGCGAAGATGGCAGAGCAAACAGGACATGAATGTGGTACTGCGAGACACTAATCTGAAGAACTTGACAATGCCTCTTCTGGTCAGCGTCCTCGATCTGGAGGCCGGGGTCGCGTGGTCGCAGAAACTAACGTTTCTACCTGCTGAGATTCCTGAGACGTGGTGTAGGCTGTTAAAACGGCGCACTTGATGATCCATTTTGGATCTGCGGCTTTCATATATCTTATCGCTTCCGATAGGTGCCTGACGATAGTTTAATGCGATCAGCTGGGCATTGCGTGGCCTTTCGGGAGGGTCGCTAGTAACCATTGACACGTATGCGCCTGTTGATTTTTTGTTTGCAAGGAGAGCTATTTCAGTTGGTTGCGGGTTTATCATTTCTGTACACTCATGACAGTAGAACGTGGGTGCCAGCGGGGCGAACAGCGTCGCGTCCGTCATCAGCATAGTAATCATTAGTGAATGGGAGATCTGGCAACTGCCAATTGTATGTGCTAGCTGATGAGCCGCGCCAATCGAATGGATACAAAGTGGCTGGCTAGCACCAGCGGCACATGCTCAATCACAAGCGAGAGCCACGGAGCACATGGCTGAGAGAAGACGAGCGATGGAGGTGCCGGTCGGGTGATGAGCCATGCACAGCACCCAACCAGAGTAACAGATGCAAGGCTAGGCA